TTGAATTTTTGGTTTGGCAGTCCTGATCATAGACAGCTTTGCTTTATCTTTACTTGCAGGTGAATTAATAGTTTTTTTTACAATGAGAAAACAACAAATTTAAATCCACTTTTGGTCTTTACACATTAAAATGTAACAGCAGGCAAAGTGTAATGCATCTGAGTTTAGCAATAAAGCTCAGAAGTCGCTGCAAATTGACTAAAAAGTGACATTTCTATCCATTTAGGAAAATACTTGGCTGAAAACTGATCCATTCCATTGACGAACAAAACGACTGTCGTGACCAGAGGACAGACCGGCACCAGACTCTCCTTCAACCTTCAACAGCAGATCCTCAGCCTGCCCAGTATTATAACTTATTTTTAGCGTATACCATCGTGGAGCTGTTTCGGGTCATGTAATTATTGTATTTGTATTCATCTCATAACGTGTTGCTGCAGTTAGATGCCTGGGTTCTTCCTTGTTCAAACGTCCGTGCCTGTCCTTATCCTCCTCTGGTCAAAGTGTTTAAAAAGGTTCACTGCAGCTGCCTAACAGAAGACAGGAGCATTCATAGACAGATTTTAACTGCATGATAGTCCATCATGCATCTCAACCACTGAGATGTTCAAAGTTGGAATAGGCGGAGTTGAATCGGGGCTGGATTTAATCATAATTCTATAGTTAACTCTTCGTTCAAGCTTAAGGCTTGTGGTGGCATTACCTGGGTCACAGATGATATCTTGTTGGTGCTCTTGTAATTTCAGATAAGCAGCAGAATCAATAGTTTTTTCAACCTTGCTCTCTGGTACAGAGTCACACGACTGATTATTTGTTTTTATATTAATGCATTAATCGGCCTGTTTCCCTTCTTTTAATAGCACACTGCGAGGTTTTAGCCTGTTAGGCAGCTGCAATGATAAGTCAGTTCACTGGTTGCAAAATAAAATGAATAATAACAACAACAAAAAAAGGTTTTCTCTTCAGAACAAAGTGTACAAAGTGTCATTTTAAGGCAGTACAATGTATCTTAAAGGGCGTTCAGTGTTCTCCTTGTATTGTTGAATAGCCTTTCTGTTGTTCCCAGAACAGCAGTGTTAGACACCAGAGTACATGACAGCATTCTATTTTTATTTATTGATGACGATGACTTGTTGTATAAAACGTGAACCTGTACATGACTAGAATTTGAATGGTATCGCAATGACTCAGAACCCTTGAGTGTATATTTGAATTATATCTCTCTTTTTTTTTTATCTGTGTAGTTGGGTAACATGTGTACAGTATAATTTTTTTGAATTTGTTTCAGATATAATTTTTTAACTCAAGTGCAACAGAAGATTTGAGCTATATATGGGTGGGAGTGGGGTAAATTAAAGACAACGGTAAATATCTTCCTGGTATGCTGTGCTATGCTTTGTGAAAGCAGTGTTGGATAAAGTCCGCATATAAAGAAAGCTTATTATGTTCCTTTTATTTTAAACATTCACTTTAACCAGTTAGCCCCAGTTCATCTTGTTTAGTTGCATATTTCTCTTAAGTTCTTGTTTAGTTGCAGACAGACCTCACTATTTTAAAGTTGGCAATCGTGCTTGTTTAGGACTTCCTGCAAGCTTTGAGTACTTGAGGTGGCAGAATCAGTTTTACACCCATTGATGCTTTGGGTTGCCACTCTGACTCTCAGCAGCTCAAAAAGTATAACCAAGACTACCATTGCTAGCTATCTAAGATGAGAGTTTGGTAAAATAAGCTCACAGGACAGGTGCTTAATGGCACTGAAGTAAACCACAACCTAAGATATGAGTTACTGTCAGCAACTGAACTTTCAAAGCAGACATTTTCCCCAAACACCTTGAAATGTTGGACATTTTTCAAGATCTGCTTTATTGGACGTTTCACTAAACACAAAGACCGTGTTCGTATTTTATTCATAAATATCTACTCACCAGCTCCTCGTGAAAATGTGACTTGCACCTTAAAGCTTCAGAAGAACCTGAGTGTAAATTTTAGCAGCGAAGCCTTATGGGAAATGATGATCAGTTTGTTATCCAAATTATTATTAGTTTGGATTTACATGAATTATTTTTAAAATATTCATAAACTAGCCTTTTTTTTATCATCACCAAAAGGACGAGCCTTTTTTTTTTTTTTTTTTTTTTTGATTTGGCTAAAAGGGTTTTTCCTCCTGATAGCAGTATTTATGCTTAGCAGATGTAGGATAAATTATTTACAAGAAAGTTCATGTGTATTTCTCAGAATGTCAAGCTAGTTTTTTTTGTTTTTTGTTTTTTTATGTCAGAGAACAAAGACAGCCAGTTTACTGGGACCAACTGGTTTGTTGTTGTTGTTTTTTTTTTAACTTCCAAGTCTGAAGAAAACAAAGGTTAAAACTAGGGGTGCATTGATAAATCGGTGGCCACGATATATCGGCGGCCACGATTTATCGCGGCGATTTCCTTAATTTTGGGAGATCAGAGATCGGCCGATACTTACAAGAGAAATCAATTTTACGGTATAGACCAAAATTGTAATCGGCAGGTCAGACTTGATAGAGATCGGTGATCAGCCAGAAAACTGCAATCGGTGCACCCCTAGTTAAAACGGTTGTTTACATTTTAACTTTGACCATGGTTCACCAGTTAGACTTTTTTCTGTTTCCTACTTTTTTTTTCACCTAAACTCCCAGAATATATGTCCTGCACACCCCGATCCTCCCACCAGCGCTTGAATCCGTGGCTTTATTTTTCATAAATGTATAAACGTAATGGTCTCTGTGAGATGACATGATTTCAATGAGGATGTGGAGCAAGGGTAAGTGACCAAAATGCTTTTTGTTTGTTTTTGTTTTTGTTTTCTGTATTTTATGTGTGTGTATCCTGGACAGTCAGTCCTCTGTTAAGAAAAATAGGATTAATATTTTTAAAATGCTTAAAAACGACAAAACTATTATATTGTTCAATGTGAAAAAAAAAAACACTGTGCTGATGATGTTCAACTTCCTGAATGCTCTGAAACTCAACATGAAGAACAAAGTGTGTGTGTGAAGTGTAGCTGAATATCTGTATACTACTGTTTGTCTGCATTCTGCTAAATGGAACCAATCATGTTATTTTGGATTAACTTGGGGAAAAAAAATCTCACTTTAGTACTTCTATTGAGAGTATTTATTACTTTTAAATAGAGATATTTTGCAGTGATATCAGATCCAAGTTGTACTGTTAAAATTGACCATGTTTTTACTTTTTATTCCTGTGCAAACCTAATCTGAGGTGACATTTTGAAGTGGGGTGGAGATAAATGATTGGTGCCATTTAGCTCCTGGTTATTCCTCAGTTTGGTGATAGTTTCTGTCATGTTGACTGGATGACAACATGCCTAACAGGATGTTGACAATTTTGTATGAATCGTGAAGCTTTCAGTGCAACTGCCACCTCAGCATTATCTACCAAGGCCCACCAAACAAACTACCAATCATCTGTGTGTTTTAAACTACAACAACTTTTATGTCTTTCAGCTTGAGAGGCAACACAAAACTCTCAGTCGCTAAAATATTATGCACATCTCTTTTAAAGAAGAATAAAACTTGGGGCAAAACTTGTTTTTCAGCTCTTCATCTCGGTGGTGAATTCATCCTGCGTTAATTCAGTATTGCATGCAGAGCATGCAGTGAAAGGTGTGGCATCTTTAATGATAGATAGTACTGAAATGACGTGTTGTGCTGAGTGTCACTTACCTTGTATCGATGTTACAAGGAGAGGAGGGAGTGTGTTCGTGTGTGCTAGAAGCCAGAATTGGTTCTGTACCGTTAACCTCAAACACGTGCAAGCTATTTGTACAAAACATAGCAATGCTAAAATAAATTGAGGAACTTAGTTTGCTTCTATCCAAATCCAATAAAAGTTCTAACTGGACACTTTTTGTTCCTGTTTTATGTTTGTTAGATAATTTGACGCGACTGAGTATTCTCTTCTTTCACAACATGTTAGCAGCTAGCTCCAGTGTTAACAGGGTCCGCAAATCAATCGGTTTCAGACATTCATGTTTACCGGTACTCACTTTTGAGTCAGTTAAATGACTATAATTGTTCTTAGTTTAATAACCATGCAACAGATGGCGCCCTGTCGAATTCAGAATAAAATTCAAATTCTTACTTCTAATCTACAAAGCCATCAACAACCTAGCTCCATCTTATATTACAGATCTTATTGTTCCATATTTTCCTAACAGAGCACTTCGCTCTCAGACTGCGGGTTTACTTGTGGTTCATATAGTTTCCAAGAGCAGAATGGGAGGAAGAGCTTTCAGTTATCAGGCTCCTCTTTTGTGGAACCAACTTCCAGTTTCTGTCCCTGACGCGTTGTCCAGTTTTAAGACTGGGCTAAGACTTTCCTTTTTGATAAATCCTTTAGTTAGGGTTGACTTGTTATTCTTCCATAGGCTTAGACTAGTGCAGAACAAATTTACTTCATTTCTTAAAATTAATAGTTATGCAAACAAATGAATAGTTTGAAATTATTTCTATCTTAACATGTGATTCTGGGCCTGCCATTGTGTATCTGTTCCTCCTTCCTGTTCCTCTCAAACCCAGCTGGTCGAAGCAGATGTCAGCTCGTCCTGAGTCTGGTTCTGCTGGAGGTTTCTTCCTCGTGAAGGAGATTTTCCTTTCCATTGTTGCCTTTATGAATGCTCAGGATGAGTCCATGACAAAGTTAGACTCAGAGCAGTCTGCTCCTCAGATAAATGGTGTTAAATTATTTTTATACATGAATGTTTCTGTTCAATGCCCCGAAACGACTTCTGTTGTGACTTGGCTCTATATAAATAAACTGAATTGAAGTCACGCATTGCAAAGTCTGGAAAAAAAAAAAATAATAATAAAATAAATTAATTTAAAAAATTCAAATAAAATTGCAAAGTCAGAAATCAAACACAAAACATGTTTTCCAGAACTTATCAAAAGTGCAGTTTGAAAGAGTTAAATTCAGTAGTTTTCCTTCTATCCATTCATCCATCCATTTTCTTTACCTATTTTTTCTTTTCTGTGTCTGGTGGGAGCAGATACCGTTCTCCAGCAAACATTGTGCAAGAGGCAGACGCCCTTGACAGGCCACAAGTCCATCAAAGGACCAATTCTCCAGATATGTCCAATAAAAGTCTGAAATGTGGCATCATTTTCAGAAAGCACTCGGCTGGATCTGTCGAAAACCAAGAAAGCTTTTGTCACATGATTGACATTAGTGTGGACACAATCTACAGAGTAGGAGTAGCTCAGCGACACTCTTGGTCCAAACACGGCTTCCTGTATTCACCATCATATAATTACATGGTTTCTTTTTCTGAGTGCATACAGAGCTCGTTCAAGCCTGGTATGGGTGTTGCCAGATATACAATAATTACCCTTTTTAGAACCCTTCCTTTTCTGTGCACATATTTGCCAATCACAACACACCTCATATTACAGCTTTGCACTTCTAAGAAAGTGCACCTCACTAAGTGCATATGATCATTTTGATCTAAATACAATTATTTTAAAGCAACTGTACAATAGGTCTTTATTTATTATCTGGCAACTCTGCCTGACATGGAAACGTCAGTGGATTAATGTGTTTTATGCAGATTTGCCACATTTTCCATTGAAAAACACTTCCAGAGGTCATTCATGTGCAAACGACCTAAATATGATGGACAAGTTACCGTTTGACCTATTTTCAGTCACTTCAGCTGTTTTTATATAAACGATGCTAGTTAGCAGGTGTTCACAATTTTTGATCGCCAATATTTATTTTAAGGGCACGTTACTCATCAGTATGAGAATACTGTTCTTTATTGTTCAGTATTTAGCTGATTTTGTTTCTTTCTTTAATTTTTTTATGTAATTTGATGGGCTTTTATGACTTTATAATCATTACCTTTAACAAACCTGCTCATGCCCCAGAATATCTGTTAAAATCTGGTCTATTTGATGATAATCTTAAGCAACTTGGCAGTCAGTCTCTAGTTGTTTGGTTAGAAAAGTGCATACAAAGTCTCTTTGAACCAAATATGGGATGTTTTCAAGCAAAATCAAGTGAACAAAGTTCATGCTCAATCATCCAGGTACCAAATCCAATACTTCTCAGTCAGGTCATCTGGACAGTTTGCTTTTTAAATATTCAAATTACTCACAATGATAAAATACTCAAGAATTTTTTTTATATAAAGACATCAAAACAAACAAAAAATGTTGTGAATTTATTTTAAACACAAGTACATGACACAATCCTGGTTCGAGTGTTATTCTTTTATATGACTTACAAACAATACAATTCTACAATCTCTTAATTTCTATTTCAGCTATATGTATTTCTTGTTACACATTTTCTCCTGCTCGGGTTCATTAACCGCTCACAGAAACTCCACGGCCACGTCTACAGATCTCAGAAGTTGCACAGTGATGGTTCGTCAGCAGGTGATTCACGCCTGGCTTCCTCAGATTCAGTTGTTGGTCAGAACAGAGTCCTTTAAGGGGTCCTCAGCAGAGATAGGTGAGGTCACTCTTCCTGCAGCCCACCTGACAGCACATCATGGTCACAACGTTATTAAGGTCCCGTTTGGTCCACTCAGATCCAGGACTACTGAGGTTCTCCAGGCTGTTCTGCTCCCCTGTAGACAGACCTGGATTAACAAACACAGGAAAAAGTGGATTTAGAAAACTTGCTTTTTAACTTTGTCTAATTTTATCTTGATAACCCACTGCAAACTGTTGCTACAAATCATTGACTTGTTTTCATATCAGTGTAATTTATGTTCATGTACTCATTAAAAAGGGAAATCTTAAGTGACTGTACTAATTAACTCTGTCTGATTTGTCTTCCACTGTGACAGTTTCCTTCTTCTAATCACCACGACCAACAAGCTAACTGAATTTGTCTGACAGACAAAGAGAGGGACTGCCCTGGGAACAGCTGCCTCCTGCATTTTAAGAGACGTATAACGTCTTCCAGCACAATAGCCAGCCGGTAATAGTAACAAGTGGGGAGACACCTGTCTCTGCACGCCCACCTCCAGCAAACAATCATTTAATACAATTAAAAATGCATCTTAAAGATGAGGCGGTTTAGTCAAAAAATACTTCAATAATGATCATATTGATTAAATCAAATCAACTTTATTTATGAGTTATTTACTAAATTTGACCAAAGTGCTGAATTTAAAAAAACTTAAAACAAAGACAGTGTTGTTCTTTCAGCTGCTCCCCTGCCCTTCCCACAACAACCGGGGCTCAAACTCACGGTCTCAGGATTACAAGATCGCAGCCCTGATCACTGAGCTACCATGTAATCCTCATTAAAACACATATAGGAACTGCAAAATGGAAAAAAGAGACTTTTAAATGCATTTAAAGAAATAACTTAAAAGCCAAAGCAGAACGCTTAAAAAAAAATCTCTGCAGTGTTTTACTTTAATCAAACTGAATCACTATAAAATATCTGGACTTACTGTTGATGCTTTTTCACCCTAATTACATCAAAATGCACAACTTTATAAAGGTTCCTTCAAGGTAGGAATTATGTCAGAGCTTCTTGCTCTTTAATCCAGATTACTGATAAATCCAGATAATAGATTTGATCATAAACAGTAGATTTTCCCACAAAGGACTTAAAATGGAACAATTAAATTGTATATATTGCATGCTTCCTAACACTGATTCTTTTGAGAAAACCAACGTCTAAAAATAAATTGTGTCCTACGTGTGAAAAAGATGTGGCTTCTCACAACTTGAGGTTGAATGAGCAAAAAGACCGTTCGTTTTCTCACCGTCCATGTTTGGCTCAGTGAAGAACCTCCTCCAGCGGGACCCTCCGCAGGTGAAGACAACAGCCCTGAGGAGCTCCCGACCGCACAACTTCACCGCATTCACTTCTGTTCTCGCCTGGTTCACACACACCGCTGTGTACAAGAGAAGAGGCAAAACCACCAGAGCACGCATGCTGTATACCTGACTGCTTTAGTTCGTCGTTCTCCTAAACCTGCTGCAGCTTCTCTTCTTGCCCTTCACTTCTACTCGGACTCCTTTGCAGGCTGCAGCACAGTCATTGACCCGCTGCTTGGATCTCCCTGTGTTATATACAGTCCACCTGATCATTTGATCATCTGCCCACCTCCCGTTTATTGACACTTAGCCTATATCCTAGCAACACACAAACACGCCTGTATACTTTTTATTTCTGGTCATCTCCACCATCACCATTTTCAGTTATCTAATGACCACAAGCCTTTTACAGCCCACATCGTATTAAATGAGCTGCAGCCTCTTCAGACTACATCAGATTACATTATTTCAGGCCCAGATTGTCCAGGCCCTCATGGCTAATTAAAGGATTCAAAGTGATTTCTGCTGCATTTGAACAGATGTTTAGCGTGTTTACAACACTCTTATGGCCTGCTTGTCCGTCATTTTAAAGCACTTTAGGCCATATGAGAGGCAAAAAGTCAATGTTGACAGTTCATCATGCAGTCGTTATGATGCTGCTGATGGTGTGATGAGAATCTCAACATATTTCACTACAATCATTAGTCATGTACGTTCTACTTCTAAATGTACAGGTTTAGATGGGCATTGCAAGGTTATTTCTGTGCAAACACAAAACAGCTTGAAGTTTTTATTATCGTACGTGCAAATAAAATGTCATATGACTCGATAATTGTTTTATCAAAGCACTGATCCTGGTTGTTAGGCTGTTTTTAAGAAGTTTTCCTAACAAATATGGGAGTCTATTTTGATATATATGTCACTTGACAGGTGGAATGCAGAATAAATCCAATTTTAAATCATTTTCAGCAACTATTAAGTAAGATGTTCCACAGGGTTCTGAACTTAGCCCTATTTATTTTTTGATTTTTTTTTTTTTTTTTGCATCTCAGGCGATATTCTAAATAAATAATGTTTTGACAATTCAAATATTCAGCTTGTGCAAACAATGAATTTATTGCTTCACTTACAAAACCACAAGTAGATCTATTTGCAGTCATTTAAAATGTGTAACTCATTTTTTAATTTTTTTTCAAAGATCAGATTTATGAGTAAGGTCAATTTGAAGAAAAAGCCTTAAATATGCTGGAATCAGAGTAATTTTAGGGTATTTTTTAATTACTGTACCTTTTGTGTACAACTATTATACGCATAATTCCAAGTTCTTTCTCTGGTCAAAATCTGAGTACATGTTGTTTAATTTAAACTAAACATACAATAATGTGAAACTTGCTGATAAAATCTGTTCTAATAGGAATATTGTATCTCACTAATGAGACATCCAGTCGTCCTTTTTACTATGAACTAAATCTTTTAAAGACGGTTGCAGGATAAGTGGATTTGACAGATACAAACCTAATTAGCTAAGGACATCAGAATATAAATCTTTGGTCTGTCTGTAATTTTGGGGCAGTAAGATGGCTCCCACTGTGTCCACCTGAAAGAACCAGAACACTTCGCTTTGTCACATGAGCTGCCCTTTACGTGCCTGTGAGGGAACAATTATGGTTTAAATTGTTGGTGTAAGATGCTATCAAGTCAGTAAAAGGGCATTAACACAGACTGCATGTCAACAAAAGGAAAGATTGCAGGTGATAATATATGTGGGTTCAATAAAAACTCATCAATTGTACCAAAGGAGAGCATCAAATGTATCATTGTCTATTTAAATTCAGATTTCTGAACAGTAAAAAAATAAGAAAAAGAAAACTTGAAACTTGTAGATTTTTTCTTTTTTTTTTTCTATTTGGCACCAAAGCATCTTAAGTGTTACATAAAAATATAAAAGCAAACGTTTCTCAGTTATAGTCTCCACAATATTAATTAATGGCTTCATTTGCTCCTTGCTGACATAATTGTAATTATAATCTCTAAAACAGCAGCAAAATACAAAAGCAAGAATTGTATTTTACAACTTCAATTTGGTAGAACTGAATAAAAAATTCAAACATTAAGATTTAAAAAATTAAGACAGTGTAAAGATTTGGCAGCACATTGTATTAGTCAAATTATTGCTTATACATAGAATGTATTACGTTTGACAAATTAGTTTTGAATGTTGAAAAGAAGCAGAAGCATCTGTCGTTGAGGCTGTATGATTTAAGACTATACAGATTACCTTTTGAAATGGGTCAAGAAATATTAAAGTAACAGAATCTACCTGTATATGGGGGAAAAAACTTACTTAAAATGCCAAAACACTCACATTTTTGTATCTTAACAGTGTTTTTGGTTTTACATCTAATTTATATTAGGAAATGCACATGTGCCCATGTCTATAAACAGGTCATGGCATTGTGAGAAACAATAAAACCTTTTTGTTTGTCCCGTCCATGTATAAAATACATGAAGAACATGTTTTCTGACATAAAAACAATTTTTTATAACGGGTACGCTCGATGAGGAAGTGAAGTAAATACTCTCTCTAGCTCGTTAAATTTCTTTTCAGAACATTGAACCTTCATCAATTTCATTGCACCTCATCTACCTTTCCTTTCAGTGTAAGAAATGTTTCCTGTTTTTACTCATAAATGTATAATCTAGGTTTCCCAGAATTTATCCACAAAAAAATCAGTTTAATGTTTTATTTAAATGGTCTAGTTTCAGTGACAATAAAATGAGGTATGTTCATTGAGTAGATGATTTTGGTGAATTGGTAAAGTTTATTACCTGAGAAAGAACTATTGTTTTTTGCTAATTCAGCAAGAAAGAAAGAAAAATAACTAACTAATCTAGCAAAAATGCTAACAGGAATGATAAACTTTACCACAAAGATGAATTCTGACAGTAAAAATTACTACGTTCAATAGGAGTTTTAATTTGGAGGGAATAACAGAAAAGATTTCAAAGACAAATATTCAAAAGTTTATGTTTTTAGGATTTTGTATCACGTAAACTTCAATTTGTGGTTTGTTGTGGCAAAACCTATGGTTTTAGGTAAATTTGTTTTTTTAGAAGATTTTCACCACTTTAGTTGGATATGTGTAATTTTTGCTTATTTTAAAAAAAAAAGTATGCCTTTTTTATTCATTTACGTCACAAAGCACAATGAACACACAATGATTATTACAGATTTTAGTGCATTTGTTATGTGCAAATCCATTATTTCTTGATTTCATAGATAAAATGGTCATCCAAACCAAATATTTTATGTTGCCAAAGATATAAACAAATAATTTTGTTTAGAAGAAGCATGCAACTTTATGCACCTGGAGCAATGTTTCATTATACATGATATTATCCAGCTGGCATCATTAATTATCCATCGTTGTTTTGCAGGATTTTGAAACTATGTCTATGCTTCCAGAAAAACCAATCTGCAAAGAAGCTCAACCACACAACAGATGCAGTAACTGGAAATAATCCATTCTTAAAAGGCCTAGTTTTCAGTAAAATTTAAAACGTAAAATTAGGTTTATTAAGAAGTAATTTCCTGATCTGGAATTTTTTTCCTACTACTTGTAATGATAAGGTGTGGTTTTGCTTTAGCGCTCAATGGGTTTGTGTGATACTTGCTTTTCACATTTTTTAGCACAACTACAAAAAAGAAAATAAAGAAACACTTTAAACACAATTGATAATTGCCACTTTTTAAATGTTTAAATGTAAAGTGTTCAACACATTATTGACTGGAGGCCTGATCAGGATATGTCTTGTCTACTGGGACAAGCACCAACCCCGTATTTAAGCAGATAAAGAAAAAGAGAAAATAGTTATTTCTACTTTGTACTATTCTAAAATATTATCCTTCTACATTATACTTTCTTTTTTAAATCCTGATGATAATTTAGCCTCTGTGAGGCCAAATAATACATCAATTCCAGACAGACAACCAGTTTTCTCCTTTAAATCCAAGAGCTCCACTGCGCATGTTCCTCGCCAAGCCAGTAGGGGGCGATGTGAAACCACGTGACTCACATGACGTAGTACAGTACAGGAAACAGCGGAGCGCACAGTGGTAAGGAAATGTTTCTGCAGTTTCTTCAAATGTCACTTGAAAATTTCACATAATTAATCGGAACATCTCTACAGTGAATGTATCAATGTGACATTTGAACATTTTTACTTTTTTTACCACTGCCGTGTTATTTAGCTCACTCTGTGCGTCCATTAAACATGTAGCAACTTGTAAAAATCTGTAAAAGGTAAAGCTTGGAATTCACCCGAGATGCTGTAAACATGATTTAAGGTTTGTTTATAGCTCGTCTGTAAAAATAATAATAATAATAATGCTCTAAAGTAATAGTGATAAAGAATACACATCAGGTGTTTTAGGATGCGTTGCCAATAATCAGCAAATAAAACAGCTGCTGTGTAATTCATGTGACATATTCAAATCTCATTGATTCATGTCCCATTTATTTTTACCTTGCAGCCCACCTGAATGCGTCATGGAGCCAGCAGTGCACAAGAGCTGGAGGAGAGTCGTCCATCATTTCCACAGAGCCTCTTTCATTTCAAGGAGAAACCATTCAGGTCAGGCTGAGCCTGCAGCTGTTCCTGCCTCCCCTCACTCCAGTCATGTCAAGCCCACACTCCTGGTATCTCGTCTTTACCAGCCGTCAAACCTGCGTGATATGGGGCAGGACAGCCGGCTTGCGGGAGAGATGAGCTGTAAAAGCCAGAGGCTCATGCAGCAGGCTGGCCTCATCCATCCATCAAACCCAGGGTGCTACTACTACCTTCCTGCCACTGTCCGCTCCATGGAAAAGCTGGTATGTTTTTATTTTTACTAAATAAATATTAAAGCGTCTTAAAGTTGAAGTATCTGGCAGTAACAGGTGCAGTGTTTAATCAACAGGTAAGGGTGATTGACCAGGAGATGCAGGGGATTGGCGGACAGAAGTTAGACATGCCTAGTTTGTGCTCTGCTGATCTCTGGAAAGCCAGTGAGCGCTGGGATTTAATGGGAAAGGAGCTGCTCCGACTCAAAGATCGTCACGGTGCAGACTACTGCTTGGGTCCCACACACGAGGAGGCAGTAACGACGCTTGTTGCTCATCAGGCAACGCTCTCTTACAGACAGCTGCCTCTGCTGCTGTACCAAGTAAGCATCCATTCTCTTGTTGTTACCACTAAATTTGTTTTATGCTGCATTTTTTTATTTTATCTTATTTATTTTTTTTACAGATCACCAGGAAGTTTAGAGATGAGCCAAAGCCTAAGTTTGGTCTTCTACGAGGGAGAGAGTTTTACATGAAAGACATGTACTCCTTTGATGTGAGTGAAGAAGCTGCTCATCAGACGTACGAGTCTGTGTGTCAAGCATACGCTCGACTCTTTGCCAGGCTGGGCCTACGTTGCGTTCAGGTGCAGGCAGACACGGGAAACATTGGCGGCACACTCTCCCATGAGTTCCAGCTGCCAGCAGATGTTGGTGAAGATCAGCTTCTGGTCTGTGGGAACTGTTCCTTCTCTGCTAATGTGGAGACTTTGTCTTCAGACAGAAATGACTGTCCACAGTGCAAAACTGGCACACTGGTAGTGTCGAGCGGTATAGAAGTAGGTCACACTTTTTATCTGGGTAAAAAGTACTCCAATGTATTCCAAGCCACTTTCAGTAGTACCCAGAACAAACTTACTGTTGCTGAGATGGGCTGCTATGGTCTTGGTGTGACTCGTATTCTTGCTGCAGCAATTGAGGTGATGTCAACAGAGGAAGAGATACGCTGGCCGGGTCTTATTGCCCCTTATCAGGTTTGTGTTTTACCCCCTAAAAAGGGTAGTAAGGGAAATGAGGTCTCATTCTTAGCAGAAGAACTAGTTCACACTTTGGGCGAGGCTTTCCCTTGTTTGAGAGGCGAAGTTGTTCTTGATGACCGCACACAGATGTCCATTGGAAAGCGGCTAAAGGATGCTAACAGACTGGGCTATCCATACGTAGTTGTAGTAGGACAGGGAGCGCTGGAAGAAACACCAAAGTTTGAGGTGGTGTGTCAGCAGACAGGTGAGACGATGTTTCTCAGTAAAGATGGAGTGCTGGATCTGCTGGGGAAAGTGAAAACTGTTTAACAAAAATAATTGACTTTGTTTAAAAAATAAAATAAAAAAGCTTGCGTTTGTTGGTACTTTGAAAGTGAATAGCAAAGAATATTATTGCCCTTTTATTCTGTCATTTAAAGCTCGTACTGTAAAAGCTGTAAAAAAATTCAAGCGGCTATTGAAATGCATTTTGTCATGACAGTGCAATAAAAAGAAAAGTGGACCCATATTTATTGTTTTCCACTTCATTTACTAATTATTATTACTTTATTATATATATATATATATATATATATATATATATATA